CTCCTGGAATTCGTCATCTCCTTTCTCCTTTTTCTTCTACAGTTTATTATCTCTCTTCTCTTCCATCTGTGTTAGCTTCACCATTATGAATGTCCTAAATTCTTTATCAGACATTTCCATGATTTCCACTGAACTGTCTGTGGATGAAGAGGAGCTATTCTTTTTCCTTGGAGGAGAGATATATTCTTGCTTTCCCATATTTCTTGTATCCCTGCAGTTATTTCAAGTCATCTGATGGGTGGTGTGTTTCACACTTGAAGTTCACTTGAGTTTGTGGGCTGGAGGCTGAATTATCAGTGGAAAATCTTCATTTTGCTTATTCCCCTGAAATCACTAGTTCTCAGGAGCCATGAAGGTGTCTTCTGAAGTCCTGCTCCCTTGCCTCTCCTTGAGAAAAAAGGATTTTAATGTGACCACATTTTCTTTAGAGATTGCTGTATCTTTCTCTTTCTCTCTAATCATACACTTGGTGGTGCTGTGAAAGATGAGTACAGGGAGCCATGGGGATTTGAATGACTTGGACCAGGGAGCCAACAGAGAAGAGACACCTGGTCTGGGATCCGAAGCAGCAGTGGGTGCAAGTTGAAGAAGAGGATCCAGGCACAGGAGACACGAGGCCCAGGCCCCAGGGCAGGAGAGTTAGGTCCTGAGAGGCAGCCAGAGAGCAGGGACAGAAAGTGTGAGACTAGACCAGAGGTGACCTGGGGCCAGGATCTATGCATCAGAGATCTGGTGAGATTTGTTGGACTTCTACCTAAAAACCAGCTGTGGTGGGCTGTGGAAGGGTCACATACTGGAGAGTCATAAAATATATTTTTAAAAAGAGTGAGGGACCAGGAGTTAGCATAATGGCTATGTCGCTGGACTCCCATGTAGTCACCTGTGGTTCAAGTCCCAGACCCATTTGGTTAAACTCACGCCGGGCACGTGTGCACGTGTGCCCAAGATCCTGAGAGAGAATGGAGGAGAAGGGATTGCGGTGTGGCCATCCCCCTGGGGAGAGAGTGATTTCTCGCTTTCTGTCTCTCTGTCTCTGTCTTTCTAGCGAGCACACACTCCCTATAGCAAAAACCTCTCCAAAAAAGAAAAAAAGAGTGAGAACAGGGTCAGGGGCTGGTTGCAGTCTCTGGGGAAAGCATGGATGGGCGAAAGCCCTGCTCCACATTAACATACACACACACACACACACACACACACACACACAGAGTCACCTTCAGAGTTACCTTAAGATTGCAGGGAGGGCCAGGAGACCCAGTGTGAGGCAGCATTTGCAGAGAGTACATTTGGACCATTCACTTACTTTACAAACTTCACACACTTGCCCTCCCCATGCCAAGTGCTGGGCCTTATTCCTTTTTTGACTGCAGCTTAAAAATTCAAACGTCTTGGCATTCTTGCTAACCTGACCTGCCCTCTTCCCCTCCCCTTCATGCCACTGCACCTCATATCTTATCCCACCCCTCCATACTGAGCTGGAGCCACAAGCTCCCCAGTACCACCCTGTTCTTTATTTTCACTTTTTAAAAGAATTATTTTATTTTACCTTTATTTATTTTATCTATTTTAATTTGACTAGAGAGGGACAGAGCAAGAATGAGAAAGCAAGCTTCCAGGTCCAGGACTCAAACCACGGAAGGCCATATGGGAGTCCAGTGTCCTTAACCACCACGCCACCTGCTGGCCCCAAACCCACCACGTTCTTGAGAGAAAAATATGCTCTTGGAAATTTCCATTTATTCTTCTAAGCTCTGAAAACTCCAGTTTTCCAGCAAAATCTTCCCTGGCAGTTCTACCTCTTCCACACCCATACAGGGTCACACACACACACACACACACACACACACACACATACACCCAAACACACAACTAATCAGCTCCTAGCATGACTAACCATCTGTTTCCTTTGGATTTGTAAAGTATTAGGGCTTAGGGTTATCAATAAATGATTGCCAGAAAGCACTGTGCTGAAAAATCAATGAAAAATAATTTCTTTCCTCAGTGAGACAAAGGTAACAGATAAAGCAGGCGATAGTCAATGTAAATGCAGTAGATCCCCCCTTATCCCTGGGGAACATTTGAAGACCTCCAATGGATGCCTAAAACCAAAGATCAGACTGAAACCCTATACTTGTTATGGTTTTTCCAACTGATAACCAAGAGGGCTACTTACTAACAGGTTGGTAGTGTATACAGGGTGAGTACGCTGGGCTGACAGATGATTCCTCTCCCAGGCAGGACTGTGGGATATATCATCAGGCTACTCAAAACAACCCCCAATATAAAATATACGTTTTCTGTTTCTGGAATTTTCCATTTAATAT